CTATTTTTAAGTTTTTGAGGAACCTCCATACTGTTTTCCATAGTGACTGCATGAGAGCCTTGAGCATGTTATCATGCTTTTCAAAATGTATGGATCACTTGACCCTTCTTCCTTCGCAGTATGTTTGGGGTGTCTGGAACGGATAGAATGGAACCCTGCCTTCCCATGAGGATGTTCTCATGGCGGAGTCAGACCGCTAGTCTGGCCGAGGGTCACAGGTTCCTCCTCCTCACCTCGTGGCCTCGGCCGTGAGGACCAGGCAGGTGTCCCTGTCTCTCAGCGGAGCTGCACTCTGGGAAGGCAAGGTTAGGGTCTCTGGACCCACAAGGAGCTCATGCCAAGGGGAGGTGGATGGGGCCAGCCCAGGCAGGACGAGGGCCAGGGAGTCGCATGGTGGGTGCGCCTCCCGTGAAAGCCATGGAGTCTGCAGGGACACAGTTCAGGATGAGACATGTGGCCCTCCTGCCTGAGCACGGGGCACACAGGGGGCTGCAGGCTGGCCCGGCACCTCTGAAAGCTCGTGTTGCAATTGGCAGTGAGACGGGGAAGTTGGGGTAAAAGTGAGAATGCACAGGAAATGCTCCTGTCTCTGGGACAGGTGGCCGGGCATGTTTCGTGGCCCTGGACTGAGGCCCATGGGCCGGCCTCTCCCCACCCCCGCTTCTACACTAATCCGCCTTCGGCTACCCGGGCTGCACCTGCGGCCACTGTGCTCAGGGAGGAGCCTCTTAAACTGTGATGCTGACAGTTTCCTACCACAGCTTCCTGCTCAGAGACAAGACTCACTACCCCCACCCTCCTCACCATCCCCAGACTGGCCTTCACCTTGCTGCCTTTTCCTGAGCCCTTTACTCTTTGGGGAGCAGCTGTATGGTCTGTGAGGCAGGGCTGGCTGGACTGGGGAAGTGGCGAGGAGTGGGGAGGCTGTACCCAGGGGAGGGGAGGGCAGTGCATGGGTAAGAATTGGGAGCGAATCCGAAAGAAAGCTAACAATGCAGCCTGGCTGCAGCAGAGGGTGGGCTGAGGAGTTTAGTTAGAGTCCATGAGGTAGGCAGAAGGGAGCCACAGAAGGTTCTTGGGCAAGGGAGGCCTTGGGAAGGAATTGCCTAGAAGCAACTTGCAGACCCCTGAGCTCAGCTCATGTGGGAAACAGACTGTGGGATTCAACCAGCCACAGGCATCACGTGAGTTAGATGTGAATCTCAGGTTTTATTAATAGAAACAGCGGGTAGAGATCAAAGAGGTGATGGCATCACAGACCAACTTCAGGAGAGAGATCTGGACTAGGCAGGTGGGTGTGGCAGCCTGTTTAGCCACAGACAGGGTGGCCCAAGTAAGGGGACCAGAAGAAACCATCCGAGAGGGAGGAGGCAAGCCAGGGAGTTGTCAAGAACCCAGGAGAGCCATGACGGTCAAGCAGGAGGGGGGTCACTAGTGTCCATCACCCTGGGGACTAAGTGCTCGCCTGGTGCCCTCCAGGTGGTGACAGCAGTGCTACCCCGGGGGTGGGGCCGGCTCTGAGGCTGGATGAGAAGGTGGGAGTCGAAGGGGAGCAGAGTGCAGGCAGCCCTCTCTTTCCTATGTCAGTTATTTTTAGTGCCTGACATTATTTTTAGGTGTGTCTACACCTTCCAGCTCCTTGATCCCCTTTAATTAAAAAAATTAAGTTATAATTTACATACTGTAAAACCCACTGATTCTAGTGAAAAATTCTGTGAGATCTGACAAATGCTTAGAGCTGAGACACTACCTTCTCAACCAAGAAATACCCTGGTGCCCCCTGTAGTCAGTCCCGCCCGGCCCAGCCCCTGGCAGCCGACTGTTCTCGAAGATGAGTTTGGAACGCAATCAGAGTTGTCGTTTTCGGGTCTGACTTTCTCACTCAGCCTGATGCCTTTGAGGTCCATTCATGTTGTTGGGTGTATCAGCATTTCGTTTCATTCGATTGCTGAGCAGCATCCCAGTGCAGGGATGTGTGACAACTTATCTATTCATATGTTGAGAAGCACTGAGTTGTTTCCGATTTTGGCGATTATGACGACAGCTGCTTGAACGTCCCTGTGCGGGTTTTGTGTGAATGCGAATCTCCATTTCTCCAGGTGAATACAGGGGCGCTTCTGGCTCCAGGCAAACCTTCTATGGAATGGTGGCCTATGTCTGCAGGTGGGGACACAGGTGCAGTCCCCGATTAATCGCCTGCCGGGAACGGGTGGGATTTCCAGGAAACCCCTCAAGTCCAGCCCTCCCAACCCTGGTGTCAGAAGCAACCTGGTTAGAAAGTACATTCTGGCCCCTCCTCCGGTTGTCCTGATTCCATCTCAGGAGGGCACGTCCTCAAATAATGTTTCATTATAACGTTGATGAGAAAAAAAATCGATTCTCAGCTGGGCTGCTGTCTGTGTGGCGTTGGTAGTTCTCCCATGTCTCATGGGTTTTCTCCAGGGACTCTGGATTCCTTCCACATCCCAAAGATGAGCACGTGAGAGGACTCAGCATGTCCACACTGTCCCAGTCTGAGTGAGTGTGTGTGTGTGAGTGACTCTGAAATGAAAGGGCATCCCGTCAGGGTGGGTCTCACCTGGTGCCCTGAGCTGCCCTGAAGGCCTTTGAGCACCATGACCCTGAACTGGAATCAGCAGGTTGGAAAAGAACTCTCTTGTTTTTTTATCCTCACCCGAGGACATTTTTTGCATTTATCTTCAGACAAAGTGGGAGGGAGAGAGGGGGAAGAGAGAGAGAGAAACATTAATGTGAGAAAGACACATCAACTGGTTGCCACCCACACAACCCCAACTGGGGCCGGGGACAAACTGTAACCGAGGTACATGCCCCTCATGGGAACCAAACCCGGGTCTCTCTCGTCCGCGGGCCGACACTCTAACCGCTGAACAACCCGTCCAGGGCAGAACTCTTGTTTTTTATTCACCTCTCTTAAATGTATGTCTAGCTCACATTTGTTTCAGTTTTTATTTTTTTAAATTTTTATTTATTGATTTTTGAGAGAGGAAGGGAGAGAAACATCAATTTGTTGTTCACTTATTTATGCATTGATTGGTTGTTTCTTATATGTGCCTTGACCAGGGATTGAACCCACAACCTTGAGGAATCAGGATAATGCTCTAACCAACTGACATCCAGCCAGGGTCAATATTTAATAATAGAAGAGTTCTGGGTCTTTGTTTAGCAGTTTGGTGGTATCTTTGTGACCAGAAATATGCTGTATAAACTTAACTTTTGTTTACATCAATTAGCCTACGGTAAAATTAGGTCCTTATGTATTGCTTCACTTAAAGTGGCAGTTTCCAAGAACCTGTTGATGATGTTAAGTGAGGACTTACTGTATCTTCCTCTCAGACCCGGTGCCCATCCTTACATGTGCCGGACGCCCGGGGGAGAGGCAGCCTTTTCAGCCCACAAAAGCTTTCTCTGTGCCTCCTGCGTACATTTGCTTAACTAAGAAAGGCACCCAAGGACCATTCCTGAACACAACATTTGCCTGGGTGGCCTTGCTAGGCCCACCTTAGTAGAGAAATGACTGGAAACTGCAATGGGGAGATACTTTTTTCCAACATTTCATAAAAACTCACAAATATACAGAAGAATGGGGGGAATTAGTTGTACAATCACTAGCCTCCCCCTAGACCCTACAATGAACATTTTGCTATATATATATATATTTTAATCCCCCTCCGAGGACATTTTTCCATTTTTTGTACAGATAGAGTAGGAGGGAGAGAGAGGAAGAGAGAGAGAGGGAAACATCGATGTGAAAGGGACACATCGAGTGGCTGCCACCCGCACGACCAACCAGGGCCGGGGACAAACTGCAACTGAGGTACATGCCCTTAGCGGGAACCGAACCCGGGTCTCTCCGGACCGCAGGCGGACACTCTAACCGCTGAGCCAAACCGACCAGGGCAAACATTTTGCTATATTTGCTTTATCACATACAGTCGATCCCCATCATTGGTGGATTGTGTATTTGTGAATTAGCCCATCACTTACATAGTTGAAACCCCAAATCTAGTGCTTGAGGCACTGTCACAGTCATTCGAGAACTTTCACCCAGCAGGAAGAACGAGTGTCAGCTGACAGGCACGTCTCACGGAGGGGAGCAAGGAGTGTCCTTCCAGTCTACTTGGTGCCTCATCTTTGTGCTGTTTGTTGGTGGTTTCATGGTTTCACTGGCCCCCAAGTGCAGGGCTGCAGTGCAGAAGGCTGTGAGACTCCTTATGGGAAAGTACGTGTTGGATGAGCTCATAGATATAGTGCTGCTGGCAGAAAGTTCAATATTAATGAATCAATAACATAAGGTGTCTTTGAACAGAAGTACACATATAACACGGTTATGTACTGATCGGTTAATAAAACGAAGGAACCTAACCCTGGATTTCCTCTAGGAGCAATGGTTCAGTATCTGCTAATTCCGTGTTTGCACTGACTACAGAACTACTGTGAATAACAAGACTTGACCGTACCTACCTACCTATCTATTCATCCATCCATCAGTCAATGTTACTTTTTGGATACCTTTCAAAGTAAATTACAATCATCAGTACCCATCTAAAACTTTATGCACACAGCCCAGCCAGTGTGGCTCAGTGGTTGAGTGTTGACCCATGCCCCAAGAGGTCACCAGTTCAATTCCCAGTCAGGGCACAAAGTGGGTTGTGTCCTGATCCCCAGTGGGCCTGATCCCTAGTGGGGAGCATGTAGGAGGTGGCCAGTCGATGTTCTCTCTCATTGATGTTTCCATTTCTCTCCCTCTTCTTCTTCTCTCTCTAAAATCAATAAAGAAAAAAGAAAATTACCTGGCCGGTTTGGCTCAGTAGTTAGAGTGTCAGCCTTTTTTAATTAAAAAATTTTTTTAAAATAAAAGTTTATGCACACAGATCATTACCTAGGGTTTAATATATTATGTTTTTTTTTTTTTTTTTTACTGAGGGTCTAAATACAATGAAATGAACAAATCTTTAAGTGTACATTCTCTACGTTTAAAGGAACCCAGAATCCTGTGTAACACAGTGTCCAGCATCATCACCCCAGAAAGTTGAAGGTAGATATCTATTTACCTAAATATCCTTAATTCCTTCTCCCCATACAATCATGCTTCCCAATCACACACCTCACTTATTTTAATGTCTCTATGAAAGTTCACATGGGGGTTAAACCCTGATATATTTAACCAATCCCCTATTGATGGATATTCAGATTAGTTTGTGCTCTCTAGAAACTTGTGCACGTAGGCAGAGGGGACAGAGCAAAGCGGGAATTTCTAGGACGGGGGAGTGAGTGGGAAGGGGAAGGAGGCTGATGGAGTAAGGGTCCTTTGATAAGCAAAGCTTGCTCCAGCTTCAGAGCCTTGGCCTTGAGGTCCCTCCTCCGGAAGGGGCTCTCGGTTCTTCAGGAGAAGTTAGCTGCGCCTCACCTTCGGCTCTCAGCGCAAAATCTACCTCTCAGAGAAGGTGGCCATCCCCGGAACAGCAGCCTTTCCCCTCTATTTCCTTCATAACACTGATCTCGATCTGTAATTATTCTTTTGTCCTTTTCTTGTCTATTGCATTCCCCTACCCCCACCCTGACTGTTGTCTTCATGAGGGCAGGGACTATATCTGTCTTTTTCATCCGTATCTCCAACACCGGCCCGAATGAAAATTCAACATGTGTTTAGGAATGAGTGCATGAGTGTCTCCAGGTGCTGGTGTGGGTGAGCCAGTGGGGGTGGCTGGGCACTCGGCTCAAGGTCCCTGAAAAGTCAGAGGCGGGTTTGGGACTCCTTGATGTGGGGCCAGCAGGCTGGGCTCCTCCCCAAGTTGATTCTGGCACAGAGCAGGCTCCACACGATGCGCACGGATGCCCCTCACTGTGACCTCTCTCTCACCGTCTCCGGGCCTGGTCGGATCTCCGGAAGCGAAGCCAGGCCCTGATGTATCCCCAATCCCGCTTGAACCTGCAGGGCCTGGCGAGGCGCACGGCCGCGCAGTTTGCACCGGGCAGCGGCGGCAATGCCGGACCCCGCGGCACACCTGCCCTTCTTCTACGGCAGCATCTCGCGCGCCGAGGCCGAGGACCACCTGAAGCTGGCGGGCATGGCTGATGGCCTCTTCCTGCTGCGCCAGTGCCTGCGCTCGCTGGGGGGCTACGTGCTCTCGCTGGTGCACGACGTGCGCTTCCACCACTTCTCCATCGAGCGCCAGCTCAATGGCACCTACGCCATCGCCGGCGGGAAGGCGCACTGCGGCCCCGCTGAGCTTTGCGAGTTCTACTCGCGCGACCCCGACGGGCTGCCCTGCAACCTGCGCAAGCCGTGCAACCGGCCGCCGGGGCTCGAGCCGCAGCCCGGGGTCTTCGACTGCCTGCGCGACGCCATGGTGCGCGACTACGTGCGCCAGACGTGGAAGCTGGAGGTGAGAGCGCGGGCGTGCACGGCTCGTGCAGGGCTCGGAGTGGGCGGGCCCCGGGGCCCCAAGAAGCAATGGGGACTGGGGTGGGGGGGTCGCCTTCGCCAGCCTGCCACGCGCTGCGCTGTGTCTGGTTTGGAAGATGGAGGTGGGCCCTGGCTCGGGCGGGCCCGGGATAGGGCTCCCAGGCTGGGCCTACACTGCCAGAAGGAAAGGTGGGGGTAGCGCTAGGCCGGGATAGTGCGAGGCTTGGGCTGGGCTGGGGTTTGATAGTGTGGGGGACCACGCCCTGGGATAGGGTAGTCAGTGGGGCGATGGGCCGTGGTCTTCGATCCCCACAAATCCATCAAGGTGCACTACCAGTATCAGAACTTCAAGCTGGAGTCCAGTTTGGTGCCGGCTGGAAGGCGGGGTCTGGGGCTCGGCCCTGGATGGGTGGGGCCTGCATGGGCTGGGGAGAGAACTTGGGGTGGGGAGGTGCGCCTGGGTGGGTTAGGGAGGGGTCTCATGGGGACAGAGGCCATGGAGAGGGTTGAGGAGATGGAATGGGGTTCCTGTGGCCGCACACTTGACGTCACTTATCAGTGTCTCTGACCCTTCCTTCGCTAGGGTGAGGCCCTGGAGCAGGCTATCATCAGCCAGGCGCCCCAAGTGGAGAAGCTCATCGCCACCACGGCTCACGAGCGGATGCCCTGGTACCACAGCAACCTGACGCGCGAAGAGGCCGAGCGCAAACTCTACGCTGGCTCGCAGACCGACGGCAAGTTCCTGTATGTGGGGATTGGGGCCTGGGGCTTTGGGGCGGCGAGGCGGGGCAAGTCTCAGTGTGCTGGTGAGTCGTGAGGGCTCCACGTGAAAGCGAGTAGTGCGTTTCTGAGTGTGCAAAGGGCCCTTCTGTGGGAAAGGAGCCGCAGTATTGAGGACCCCATAGTTGGACTCCCTGGGTTGGAATCCCAAGTCTGCTACTTACCAGCTGGGACACGTGGAAAGTCCGGGGATTTCCTCTCCTTTATTCAACAAATAGTCGCTAAAAACCTACTGTGTGCCAGGCACTATTTCAGGCACTGAGAACATGGCAGGGAACAAAACAGACAGGAATCCCTGTCCTTGTGGCGCAAGGAGACAAAAAAGATGAATCAATAAAATACAAGGCATGTCAGGAGGTGGGAAGTGTTGTCTGTACAGGTGGGGAGGGGTTGAGATGAGGTGTCTAGAAGCGGCCTTTCCTATCTGGTGGCTTTTGAGTGAGGAACCGAAGGAGGAGAGAGGTGAGCTGTGCAGCCCTCTGGAAGGAGGTGTTCCTGGCAAATGGGAGTGGCAAGTACAAAGACCAGAGACAGGTTCTTGGCATATTCAAGAAACGAGACCAGTGTGCTTGGAACTAAATGAGGGCTGGACAGAGGAGGTGAGGGATGGAGGAGATGACTCCCTCCGACTGCCCCGTGGATGAGAGTAGTACCCCCTGCATGAATTAATATGTGCAAAGTAATATACAGTATCTTGCATATACTAAAAGTGCACCAATGTTAGCTCTTACTACATGTGGGTGAATGTGTATCTCTACCTTTGTTTGAGTTACAGCTGAGCCATGTGGCTGTTTGTGAGTTTGTTATTGTGAAATAATCTCTAAAGTTATTTAAATAACCCTGCTTGGTGCTCAGAAGCCCTGCTGGCACTATTGCTTTCTGGTCTGGACATAGGTCCCTTTGTGTAACAGATGTTATCCAGATGTCAGCTGAGGTCATGCTGGCCTCGAGACATAAAGCAACTTGGTGCCTGCCTCTTTCCTGTGATCTCAGGAAGTCCAGTGCCGTCCCCAAGATGTCTGTGAATTCTCAAGGGCCTCCCTTCTCATGGCCTGAGTTCCTGCATGGCTGAATCCTCGCTCTCATCCACCTCTCCTAGCACTGTTCCCTCTCCTGGGGCCAACCCCCAAACCCCCTTGATTTCCCCACCTATGTGTGGTCTCTGCGTGTGCATCAGACGGCCTGCAGGTTCCAACACAAGATTCTGTCATCAGCTGATAAAATTAATTTTTTACCCTGCCTAACAGACTTAGGATAAAATTGGAGTAAAGTTTCTAAGACTTCTGAGGGAACTCGTGAATGCGTGTTACAGATAATGCTCAGCTGCGAGGATGGCTTTTGAACCACTTAAGACAGGGCTGTTTTCTCTAAGAGTTATGGTAAACTGAGCCTTGCATTTGTATCAGTTAGCTCTTGCTACATAACAAATTGCCCCAAGACTTACTGGCTCAAAATAACATTGTTTTCGTGTCACAATTCTGTGAGTCAGCTAAGCCGTTCTTGCTGGGGTCAGCTGGGCTGGGTCTGAATAGGTTGAGATGGCCATGCTCATGTCTGGTTATTGGCTCCATGTCCCCTGGGTGATGGGGATGTGCTGGCCACAGTGCTGTCATTGTCCAGTAGGCTAGCCTGGCCTTATTCAGTGGTGGTGGTTGCAAGGTTCCTAGGAAGAGTCACAGAGGGAAAGTGACAATGCACAGGCACTTTTTACACCTCTGCTTAGGTACACCTCTGTTATCGGTCTCCTACTGGCCAAAGCAAGTCATGTGGCCAAAACCAGAGTCACTGTGGGAAAAGGGACTACCCGTAGGAAAGGAATTAAGGCAGCCAGTTTTGCAAAGTCCATCATGGGATTGGAACAAGGAGGTCATAATGGAGATGATTGGCCTCTCAAACATGGGTGCTTGGGACTCCTTTCCTTCTGGATTAGAAACTTGAGGACAGAGCCTGCATCTGGTGCTTCTAGAAGGCTCCATCTCCAGCGCATGGTGAGGGCTGGTACTTGTCCAGATGGAACCTGTCTTCATCCAGATGCTGCACACTTCCCATCTTGGGGTGATGCTTACTAAGACATGGCCAGCATTTGGTCCCGTCCCACATACATTCGTATCTCACTTGCTCTCGTTCACGGTGCCAGAGTCTGGGGCTCTCCCCACGCTGGACACAGGCAGCGAGGTTGTGGTGCTCTGCCCGTGGTGTAGCTGGTTCTTCCTGCTCGTCCCCGCTTTCTCCTTGTGACGTGTATTTCCTCTCTCTCTGATTTTACAGTCTAGGTTTCCTTCCCTGGCTTCGTCTCAAGTTCCTAATTCAGCTTTTGATCATCCCAGTTTTTGCCTCCTTTCTGTCTTTTTTCTTTCTTATTGTCTCCTCCCCTCTCTTCCCTCCCTCTGTCCCATATACAGACACTGACTGCACCATTCCAGTGGTGTTAAAAGTCACCCGCTCCCCCGATTGCCCAAGGCCCTTGAAAGTGGCAGAGGGTTATGGAGAGGGCAGAAGAATTGAGAAGAGTATGCAGCAGGTGGGCTTCTGAGCCCTCGTTCAGCTCAGCTGTTTTTAAAAGATCTTTTTATTGATTTTTTTTTTTCCGATATTTTGTTCAGATAGAGTGGGAGGAAGAGAGAGAGAGAAACATCGACGTGAAAGCGACACATCGAGTGGTTGCCACCCACACGACCCAACCAGGGCCGGGGACAAACTGCAACCGAGGTACGTGCCCTTAGCGGGAACCGAACCCGGGTCTCTCCAGACCGCAGGCTGACGCTCTAACCGCTGAGCCAAACCGGCCAGGGCTTTTTATTGATTTTTTGTTTTAAGAGAGAGGGAGAGAGAGAAACATTGATATGAGAGCAAAACATCAATTGACTGTCTCCTGCATGCCCCCAACTGGTGTTGGAGCCCACAGCTTGTGTCCTGACCAGGAGCTGAACCAGCAACCTTTCTGTGCATGTGACGATGCCCAACCGTCTGAGCCACACCAGTCAGGGCCCAGCTCAGCTTTGACTGGTTTCATATCTTAATCTTCCACGGAAGATGTTTGACAAAGAATTCCATTGCCCAAAGGAAAAGTTTGCAGAGCTTTTGCATTAATACAGCAGAGTTTATGGCAGGCTTAGAGTTAACCAGTGTACTGAGATAAGATGAATCTCAGGAGAACCAGGGCCAGTGGCTTTGAACAGTCGGTGCTCTGGACAGCAAGCTGGCTTGAAGGCGCAGAGGGAGGTAGGACCAGCGTTGGCCATGGAGGTTGAGGCTGAAGGAGGTGGGATCTGGGTAGAGTATAGAGGCTGAGGCTGGTGCTGAGGTGCAGAAGCAGTTGGAGCAGTGACATTATGAGGGACAGTGACTCATGCTGGGAAAATGGCAAGAGACCAGCAGCAGCCACAATGAGCCGAGCCAGACTGCTGGAATGTCAGGCAGGGCGTGCTTCGGCAGAAACGGTTGTAGATTCTTCTTGGGTTCCTGTAGTCAATAACCGCTTTCTCAGTATGTGCAGAGTTAAGGGCTGACGATCAGAGCTGTAGGCACAGACCCTCCCACAGGGCAAGGTAGGTCACGAGGCCTGGGACATGCCCGGAACTGGTCTGCTGCAGGTGTGTTAGAGGGATGCACACCACTCAGGCCTGCAGTGAAGACCAGGGCCACGCATACCGCCGGCCACAGTTCCGAGCTGTTAAATTGTTCCTCGTGCTGTGCTCTGCCAACCCTCGCTGCCTTTTCTGCATACTTGCAGCATTTGTAGTTGTGGTTGGTTCGGTGTGAAAACGACCCCTGAGAAGGGCCT